AAAACTTGGAATAGGGCACAGTGCAGTACAGGAGATGATTGAAAGCTTGGGCTATAGGAAAGTTTGTGCTCGTTGGGTCCTGCAGTTATTGACCGAAGACCACAAAGGTCACATTGGAAGCAACTGCAAAGATGGGGTGGGAAGTTCTTCCACACTCCTCCTATAGCCCTGATCTGGCACCCTCTGACTACCACCTTTTCGGATTTGTGAAGGATCAGCTGTGTGGACAACATTTTGAGACAAGGGAGGCAATTCAGAAAGCAGTGCGTCAGTGTCTTCTAATGGCTGGAACAGAATTTTACAGAAGGGGAATTTTCAAACTCGCAGAACGCAGGGAGAAATGTGTACAAAGAAGTGATGATTACGTGGAAAAATAAAGGTAGGTCTGTAGATTGATGTGGTGTATTTGGTTTGTCAATAATAACGCATGTTACTTTACAAAAAATTGTTGCTCATGACTTTCAGTACGACCCTCGTATATATTAAGTATTCCATTCTAAAAAACACCTCACTTGCATTAGTATCAATATATTTCAACCAATGCTAGAAACTAAACAAGAACATATGGCCATTGTCATTCACAGTTCTTTGATTAATCAGTTACTTGAACACTGCATCAGTGAAGTTTCTGTACTACATTTGAAGTTGCTTTGATGTCAAATATATGTTTGCCATCCCCACATAAATTGATTATGGGTTAACTCGCTATCAAAAAAGCCAGATACAGAAGACAGCCAAAGTTAGTGAACACCGTTTGAAGAGTGATTATATTGTTATCTAACTTCTACTTATAAGTTGCCAGTTATTTATAATTGTGCAAACAAAGTAGGTAGCATTAAGAAACAGAAAATGGATGATGTTCACATGTGAACTCTTTCACTCAAAAACATGGGCCACAGGATGCTTAAAAATGAAATAACATAGCCACTTGAACAGACCACCATTCTCTGGTAAAACTATACATCTCCAAGCCAATTTTAACTGCTGGCAATGTTATTATCCCACCTTAAGAATGAAGCTCGAGAAAGTAAAGGAAAAAATGTAAAATTCCCCATGTTAAGAACAGACATAAGAGGCCAGAAAGAAATGGTAAAAACATGAAATCTGAGAGGCTCAGCTGTATTCAACAAAGATGGCATGTCAAAAGAAACCTTATTATACAAGGATAAAACTAAGCAGTTGGAGGCAGCCTCAATTCCCTTATTAGCAGTGCAATCAACACTTCACTAAACACAGCCCCATCTGCATGGAAATGGTTTCATAACAAAACCATTTACTGCTTTGCAAATATAACCTCTACACCACCTCTGTTGAATATCTGCAAGTAAAGCATCCCTGACCCATCCAAGCAATGAAGAGTCCACAAAATGTCAGTCACAAATGATGACGGTACAGATGGCGATGGAACAGCCCCTATTCCTGAGCAAGTCATGTGACTGAAAGACGTGCAAAGTGTATTATTCTCTTTTACGATATATTGTTTTAAAAATGGATTGGCTCGGGACTTGAGAAGTTTTCCATATCTTGATAATGCTGTTCAATTTCATTCACATCATTTTAAGTTTCTGTATTCCTCTTCTTTGTTTCAATTACTCACTTGCTGAACAGCCCGACTGCACTTAAAGCTCCATGAATGCCTTTATGTATAGCTAATTACTAGCATAAATGATTACAACTATTCAAAACTCAAAGAAGCTTCAAAAAGATTTTTTTCCCCATTCAGATTTAAGAAACTTAATTTTCTAATCACTGGTGAGATCTTGAGGAACAATTCTGCAAAGAAACTTTCCATTTCAATACTTCCTTCACGCGCGATTTTTGAATACATTGTTTTACTAAGCGATTGGTAGCTTCCGACCTGCAAGTTCAAGTTCTATAATGAATTAATGGCAGTGAATCTGGGGTTTTCAAACAATGTTAAACTGATCTTCTCACAAAACACCATGTCTGTTAATCCCACACACATAATACCACAAACAATACCATGCTCTACCACTTCTCATGCTTCAATCCCAGATAGAAAAGTATGATGAAGTACCCAATGCAGTTTCATGAACTATGTTAGTTGATTCAATGATTATATTACTAAGGCCGCTTTTATACAGCTGTTAATGAACAAAAAAAAAATCACACGTATTGAATGCTGTAATTATAGTTATGTTCTCTTGGAAATACCAAACGAGTTCTGCAACTCTGGATGAACATTCTGTAATGGTAATGTTAAGGGTTGCATGAGAAACATCTCAAATAGAGGAAACTCATTGTTGTTGATGAATGTCATAATGCACTCCATGACTTTCATGGTTACCATTGTTTGTTAGTGCAAGTACATTAGGAAATAATCACTCTGTGAGATCATCACTCCTCAGTTCTTTACGATTTTCACTGGATGACAAATTATTCATGTGGAATATGCCGGATATCCTGTGGTATGTTAGGAAAATTTCTGAACATAATAACTGAACTGAATAGGATACCTACCATAATACAGAGGCTTTTATACTGAACAGAACCAATAACTGTTAAGAATACGAGACACAGGTAGTTTCAGTATGTGGTGTTTCAGAATGAGTGCCCATCACTTTCGCTTCCTGACTTGGTGGTGGGAGTAGTGAGAAGGGAAGCTGGAAGTGTCTTGACTGCCTGGACAGGGAGGGATGTGGTACAAAGTTGAGGGCCCAGGCGCTGCTTGGTCCCACCAGTGTACCACCGATGCAGGTGATGGGAGAGGGTGCAAGGGTGGAACCACATAAGACTGTGGCACATATGAAGTTGATGGTGCAGGGAAAGACTGATGCAGCACAGGGGGTGGTGGTAGCACCAGTGTGGGAGGTGGGTGATGCAGGGGCAGAGTTGGGTGTGGTGCACTCCACACCATAGTGCCGCTGCCGGGGCCAGGGGGGCCCCACAGTATCTGCTAGCATCGCCGGTTACGCCAGTGGTTCAAGTAGTCCTGATAGCTCACTGAGATCTTCTCACTCTGGTACCGTGTCAGCTTGATTGTGCGACGAATATCAGGTGTCACAGAACCTTTGTAGCCACCTTTCCGCAGCAGTGAGTCAATTGTCTGGATCTGGTCCCAGCCTAAGGCAATGTATGATGTTCAGTGCTACCATATGTGACTACCAAATTCCTATTAATTTATCTTTAAAACAATGAAAGCAGCTCTACTACCTTGTTCAGGTGCCACTTCGGGAAGATAGGTAGCGGTGCGCTTACTGCCTTTCTCATTGTGGAATTCTATCCGAATCCCATGCACACCCACTTCCCAATCCAAGTAGTCAGAACCATCTTCAAAATGACGGAGTATTGACACTGACACATGCAGCTTGGAGAACTCATCACGAGTAATTGGGCTGAAGCGCGAGTCCTTGAATGCACTTTTACATAAAGAAAGTAAAAAAGAAATTAGTTTAAACAACCTAGCTAACAGATGACCAAAATTGTGCAAGATCTGTGCCTCAGTATGAACTTATGGTAACAGTATGATTTACAAAGAATGTTAGAGATATTCAAACATTATATCTTTTTTTTCCAAATGTAATACACCTTACTTTAATGTTGATTATTTAGATTACTTAAATGGCGCAAAATGTAGTGGATCCTTGATCTTCAGCATCAAGGTGACTAGGTGTACAATTCCATGTCTTCAGTAGCTTGGTTTGTTACTATGTGCAGATAACATAAGCCAGGCATGCTACAAGGCTGCATGGAACACCTTTAAAACTACATCACCTCCAAATCAATGGTTAAAAAAAAATTACTACAGAACTCCGCTGGTTTCCCATGTGGATACAGTGGTTGTAGACAGCCTGCTTGCCTTTCCTATTTGCATGATGGTGAGGAAAGCAATGGCTGGGACAAACAGTATTAAGGACGTATATTAAAGGAAAGCAGTATCATGTCCAACAGACGAGTGGGGAAACCAGGCAAAGAGCCCTGCTCACCTGGTAACCGCATACTCGCGCAATCCACAGTGGAGGTTCATAGCATTAAAAGTGCCTATACAGCCTCGCAACCGCCTGTCCTTTCCAATCTTCCATGTCACAAACAGGGGGCTGTAAAGTGAAACACATTTAAATATCCAATTACAAGTAAACAATGTGGCCTTTTTTTTTCAGAAATAAGCATTTACATATCCAATTAAAAATAAAAAAAATTACTTATCTGTAAATTTATAACCATAGATCACGTTTATGAAGCTGAATAACAAATGAAACTTACATTATACCTATAAGATCTAAAAGTCTGTGATGATGTTAAATTGTTACAATTAATATTTTGCTGGACATTATCCATCATCTTGTCTATTCTAATAGACAAGATGATGGATAATGTCCAGCAAAATATTAATTGTTACATTATACCTATTTAAAACATGCCTATATCATGAATTACATACAAAGAAACCAATTCGGTTTTAACCTTGAAACTTATTTATGACCCACTTTCCCTGTAGCATACCACATTAAGACTAAAGCAAATAACCGCAAAATATATTATTTCAGACAAGTTACCCCCCACATGACTGTGCTTCGTTCATAACAGAAAAATATTCTACGCACCCTTTCCGCATATTAAATCAATGAAACTATCGTCACACACACGCAGTGAAATTTGATACTGAAAACAACTACTCACTATGGATCGTTGCAGAAGTTTGGAGTTTTTGGTGGATCCAGGCTATGTAGATGGCAGTATAATACATCAAAACAGAAGAAGCACATTTCTGGATGTGCAACCATGCCATTTCGCACACCATTTGGAATAAGCGAAGTACCATTACACGTTATACTCGTAGAATTGTTCAGCTTCTGCTTCTTCGTCCCACAACATCCAGCGGCCATCTTTACCCACACAAATAACAATGAAAATGCTAGAGCGCGCTACAAGGGCTTTCAAAGATGGCAGCACCATATGAGGAAATCAGCTGATCATCTGCACAGTCAACTTGTACTGCTTCGGAGCCGTACCAACCTGACGCATACTACCAACTACGTCCATGACGTATTTCGGAGTGTGCGTGACTTATAGACGGGTTTTGGACTGATGAACCGATTTATTTGACACATATACAATTTGTTACTATACTTCACAAACCACTATATGACACACTATGTCATCTCCATCAACTTAGACTTTCATCTCCAGAGAATAATTTAGGTTTTAGTTTCTTGGGTTGGGGTGAGACAGTTCGCTTGGTGCTTCGGCCACTAACTGGCCTATTGTACCAGCCCCTAATGATAGACGATGAGTGTGGAGTAGTCGATGGAACGAGAATTGGTAAGGGAAACCGAAGTACTCAGAGAAAACCTTCCCCAGTGCCACTTTGTCCGCCACAAATCCTCCATGACCTGACCTGGGCTCGAACCCGAACTGCAGCGGTGGGGATCTCGAGAGACTACCTCAATTATTCTGATTTAGGTCAAAGTCAAAGTCACATTGCAACTGATGGTCAGTCATTCAGTCAGTAAATCTTGGTGTCGAGCTCCATCTTGGGCTCATGACCGGATATTTATTGCTGTTTGACATTTACGGTCTTGCTTTTGTGGGACGCCCTCTCTGACGAGGGGATGGATCTATCTTTTGTACATGCTGCTGGCCCTTGCCAGCGCAATCGTTCTCGTGTTCGAGTCTCTTGGGACTCGCTACCATATTTTACTGCCTCAGATTTGAAACTTCCCTTTGCGTCGCCGCCAACGACTCGCAGAGTCATAGTGAAGGTATTCGACCAACTCAAGTTGGTCATGAAGGCACAAAGCAACGGCCAAATAATTATGGCTTTGGAATAATAAAGATATTAATATGGAACTAGTCACCTTGCCGCAATGCATCTAACAGCAGAGTAAATTTGGCACCCGGATTCCGAAGCTTAACGTTGATTGCGAACCTGTTTCTTATCTATTTCTATATGTAATTACATCTGAGGTTAATTAAATTTGCTTTTTACTTACGTAAATAAAGTGGATCATGTCAGATAATGGCCTTAATCGTGTGCTGTGGATGGGAACAAACGTGCTGAAACCATTACAATTTCAGTTTTCCGGAAACTGCTAATTATAACGAAATAATGATTCGGAGAATTCAAAAGTTGATAATATATCTAATAGTGTCAATCAGCTTTACACGCATTCGATATATCTTTAAAAAAAGTAATGGTATCCCTGTAACAGGCCATGGAGGCCCATAAGGTTTTGAGAAGTTGAGGTTCCCACATTTTCTAGACAATCAGCTCTTAGATGGCGGTGAGGTTGTCAGCCTTACGCGCCGGCCGCCCTTTACCCCCAAGAACATTCCAAGAATATTCCTGGTACTCGTTTCTGTTAGAGGCTGAGCCGACCCCAGGGCCATAGTGCAGCTGGAAGGATTAGGTAAATTGAAAAAAGTCCAATGTCCTCATCTGGATTTGTTCCTGCGACCTTCCGGCTTGTAGCATAGTGCCTCAACCAACTACGCTACCTCGTGCTACCGTACTTCACTGCTGAAAATATTTGTATTCTTACCTGTGTCTTGCTATTTGTACGTTATTTTAGCATATTTTTGTAAACACCTTATTCTTTAAACATAGATTCCGTCTATGTTATATAGATAAAAAGTTTGGTACGTTGACTTACAGGCAAAATTTTGCACATAGTAAGCCCATGTATGTCTTATCTCCATACCAAATTTAATATTGCTAAGTCGACCGGTTCGTAATTTATAATTTTAAAATTGAATACAGAAGAAAACTTTCGCACGACTGCAATGTATGTTTAAAGTCTTAAAAATGTCTCATATTTTCCTAAGACGTATTAACATATGTCATTTAAGGATTCTAAAATAATTATCGCTAGACCAATCCCGCCTCAAAATTCGCAAGTCCACACGTTTCTTATTACTGATTGTTCGAAATCGGGAAGTAACATGTCAAAGTGACCCAACAGCAAAACTTTCCACTGAGCTTCGTTGTATAAAATTTTAAATGCGGCCAGACATACAGATGCACATATAGGCATTGTGGTGATCTCATAAGCCTACTTTCTTTTATTAAAAATATCAATTTGACAGAAAGATATACATGCAACGAAAAAATTAATTTAGGCCCTCCAGCTGGATTCTTAATTAGAGTGCTTGGCACAAAGTTTCGTAAGAATGTTAATAGAGCTCTCGATAGGAAAAACTTGAGATCTTCTAATGTTACTTCCCTGTATGAAACAGAAAATAGTGAGTTTATTACAATTAGCAGAAGAAATTTAAAAGAAAATTCTCTTCCCTGCTGCTTATCATTTTTCTTTTATAAATGTCATTAGGAAAACTCAGAATGAGGAGACACTAGCCTGCTGATCTCATCCTGTTATATTAGTTTAATTAGAGAAAATATAGATAGAATAAACGCAGTTTCTCTGAAATTGTATAAAATATTTCGAAGTAAAATTAATGTAGAAAAATTAGTTTATATGTTAATTAAAATCAATAAAAGATAATCATAATTTAAGAATTAGATACAAGGCCCTATCATGCCCAATTAAAATCTTTGGTTAGTGATACGCCTTATGGTTTCTTCTGCATTTATATTTTCTTGTAACAATACAAGAGATAAACATTTATTTTGAAAATGTGATAAAATTTTAGTGTTTAGAAAAAGTAATGATTCAATGCTATTATAATATCAAATATTTAATATAAGGCCTATAAAACTGTAATTTTCCCTGATAAAATATTTCAAAGGCTTCTTAATTTCTCGTGGGAAATTTCAGTGTAATTTAAAATAGGCCACGTTCGCTATCGTCCTCTCCCCGTACCGAAAGATTATGATCTTAATGAGCCCAATGTCTCTGCAAAAGAGCGACTTGTGCATTCTTATATGTAACCTATCGTTCCGTTGCATTTTCTATCACAGATGGCAACACAGGCTCACAGTTCGTGATATTCCGGTTTTCAGGTTCCATGTCACAGTATGTTACACAATGACATTCATGAATTCTGCAATTTGCATACAGAGTACATTTATTGTGTTATATATAATTCTCGGAATAAAAAACAACGCTTACCCTAATTTGCATTTAAGGATTTTCTTTAAAATGGAGATGCATTTTGTATCTTACGGAAGCGGAAGTGAATTTTAAATGTTTTATATAAAAATTTTCATTCACTAATAGGATAAGCAAATAACTTGGATCGAAATGGACAAGAAAGAACATGAGCACAGAAAAAATAAACTCAATGGAAGAAAGAGTGATCGAAAAAAGACAAGGAATAAACAAACTGAATTAAAAGAAAACATGATTTGTACATTTAGTGCCATATACTACGAGTATATACAATGAAAGAAGTTCCTACAGTAGCATTATTCATATCTTCTGAGTACAAGGAACTATGGGAAGCTATTCATATTCAACTGAACATTGATACCTCAAGGCAGTTGTGCAGCCAACTGCAGCTTGTCTGCAGACAACTCCCGATGCCTTTGTTTTTCAAAAGTTTAACGATCATTTGCTTTACCTTCATATAACGGGAATGTTTCAAACATAAACCATCACTTTAACTAAGTTTAAAACACAGTAGTTGTGATGTAAAGATGAACATTTTTCAACAAACTTAGACGTTCTTACAACTGTGTTTCTGATGTCTTGAGATTTTAATGGTTGCAAAGTATAACAAATCTATTGGGTTTCTTTATAGTGAAAAATAAATTGCATAAGGCAATATATTTATATTTAATTAAAAATTTCATCTTGATTGAACATCTTTCCTTATAACCAGAAGAAGTATGAAGATACATTCTTAAGTGTGACGAAATAACACCAGCCATGTTCTTCGCAAACATCAGTGGAAATTTTACGACATGTGTCCTAAGGAAACCTGCGCTACGCTATTCAGCTCTAATGGGCTTTCTATAGACCTCATATCACAAGCATATAACTAAGCTATAGAGGCGTAAGTTAAGTTCGGGGGATTTTTCATGGCAACATTCAGTTAAGAATCTTTTGTCTTCCCGGCTCTATCTAAAAATTTAATACATCAAACTATAATCTGCCACAAAGTATTAAAAACTTGGGCAATGATACTAAAAAGTTTAAATCAGAGTTAAAGAATTATCTACATGCTCATTCCTTCTACTCTTTAGATGAATACTTCAATGTAAATAGAGAATGATGTAAAATTAAGTTATATTAATTTTTAAGCTAAAATTGCCTGTACTTATGTATGTAACCTTTTGACTTGTTCTGTATCCAAAGGTACTAACCTGCTTAGGATTTATAGAATGTAAATAAATTCAATTCAATTCAATTGTACCTGTTATTTCGTGTGAAGAAGCACGTGAGTTGATAATATATCTGGTTCTCCTCCTCTGAGATATTTCTTCACGAGCGAATAATATCGTATATTACAAGACACCAATTTATTTGTATTATTATTATTATTTATTATTCAGTCCCCAGGTTTCTCTTTATTATTCTTTTCTCTCTTATTATTTTTATTCCCTTTTCACTCCATTCTGCCCATAGATTTTTCTCCTCATACGTCACTCACCCGTCCCCATTTTATCGAAGTTCTCTTTATGTCGTTTCTCATACATATAGCACCACCAGATGTCCATAAAACTGCAACCCTGCTACTTGAATTTCAAATGGAAGAACTTGTGACAGCTATATAATATGGGGCTAAAAACGAAATTTGAATGTGAAAACAGAATACTGATTTCGGCCTAAAGGGACATTTTATGGTGTGGCACCTTACTCCTTCTTTCCATTTTCCAAGTCAATTCCATACGGGTTTCTCTTCGCAGCTCTCTTATTTTTTCCCATCAACAACTCCCCCAGCCCCTAGGGATGTGAACCCCCACAGCGTTTCAACGAGACTTCACTGCGCAGTAGATTGAGCTATGACCTCTCTGA